TAGTATGACTCATGTAGAAAAATGATACATATAGATCGAGAAATAATTCAAATAATTTTCTATCCACGACCTTAATAATTCTGCTAATGAATCATTTTCTGCCAACTTCATCAACCTTGTTGTCCTACTTGAACACGTCATTCCCTTCTGTTTTGCTTATAGCTTCTCACCTTGAAGCTAGTTATTCCTTTGCTTTGGGGAAGGAGACTACATCCTCACCCTCAGTAAGCAAATTCTAATCAATTTAATTAATCTCAATCCTTTATTCATAACCCTAGTCTTCATAATATTATTACATGTATCACTACAGCTTTTAAAGGTCATAAAACCAGACAAAGGGGGCCCCAAAACCTCTCAATATTTTAATGTCCTTTCCTAACATTTGTCCAAAAATTTTAGAGTGTTGAATGGCGATGGTCATGTTCTTGAATTCAAATATATGATTCATGACCTTAACATTGATATTATGTATCTTATTGAAACTATGCTCAATTCAGAGGCTATTGAGGCTGATTTTAACCAAAGACAATTTAATATTTTTCTTGAGAAAGATAGTTTTAATAATTTTTAAACTGTTATTAATAGTCATTTATAAATTAAATGGAACTTCTCTGAGGTTTCTTTCAAACCCTTGCCCATGCTCAATTTATCCATGGCTCTTTGAACATTTACCTTTCTATTAAAATTTTAATTACATTCATCTATGTTGCTAATGATGCTCTTGAAAGAAAAACACTTTATGATAGTATTAATGCTCTTGCAGTTAACATGCATGATCCTTAGATTATCCTTGGGGACTTTAACGATGTGAGGAATAATGATGAAAATATTAGTGGAAACCCTCCCCATCCTTCTAGGCTAAGAGACTTTAATGATTGTATTTTCAATTTTTTGTTGTGATATTCCTTATAGTTGGTATAATAACTTGGTTCATAACTCCCTCAGATGTCTCCTTAATAGATCTCTTTGTAACAATGCATGGATGTCTAAATTTTCTCTCTCACACTTAAAATTTTGGGCCTCTATCCTCTAATCATTCTCCAATCTTGTTGATCCTATCATTTCCTTTAAAAGATTCTTGTACATGAACTATTGGCTTTAACCTCCAACTTTTTAGATATTGTTCAGTCTTCCTAGAACATTCCTGCCCAAGGGGACCCTATGAATGTTCTCTTTATGTAATTGGCTAAATGTATTTGGTTATCTCGTGGTGAGGATGATCTCAAATTTCTTTATCAAATGATTAAAATAATAGCAAATAGGATTGTTATTTGTGAAATTTGCGGGGAAAATGGTTTCATTCACTCTCAGGTGGATGTTACTAATGAAGTCATTTTATGCTTCTATTCCTTATTTAATATGGATGGTTCCTCTTAACAGTCTAATAATTCTATCACTATTCTTCACATAATTACCAATGAGGGCCAAACTTACCATACTTCTGATTTCTTTCATGAGGATTAATAACTTGCTCTTTTAGAAATTTTGGATGGCAAAGCTATTGGACCCAAAAGTTTCTCTGCAAAATTTTTCAAAAATTCCTGGAGCATAGTTGGTTCCTCTTTCTCTAAGGCCATTAGTTTTTTTTTCTTTTCATTTTATCTCCTTGCTTGATAGAGTGAAACATTTGTTCCAACCCAGGAATCAAGATTGAACTTGTGATTTTGATGATAAAAAAAGTAATTATTATGCTGATAATTTTATTATTTCTCCAAACATATCTTGGATATTTTTATTTGCTTGTTTTAGTGTGTACTAACATTTTAGAGAAATCATTCTCCAAATTGCTGAAGACTTCAAGACAGAGTAGAATAGGATAT